CCAGCAGTTAGTGTAATGGCTATGTCGCTGGACTCCCATGTAGTTGACTACGGTTCGAGTCCTGGACCTTGTGGCTTAAACTCAAGCCGGGCGCATGTGTGTGTGTGCCCAAGATCCCAAGAGGAGGATGGAGAAGGGATTGTGGCATGGCCATCCCCCCTGGGGGTGTGATATCTCGCTTTCTGTCTCCCTGTCTCTCTCTGTCTCTCTGGCGAGTGCATGTGCCCTATAGCAAAAACCTCTCCAAAAAGAAGGAAAAAAAAAAAAAAGAGAGATTGCTTGGGAGTTTCCATCAAATCTAGACATGAGGGAAAGGAAGGACTAGATCTAGAATTAACTAAGAATTAACTGAAGGTACACTTTTCTATCAAAATCTAACAAAATTACTTGAATTTTTCATCCAATTGATGTACAGAAAAATTGAAAATATTATGTAGTGTGTGACTGTATGTACTACTCACCACGGAAAATAGCATTTCTACTATCTTCTTGTTCAGAATAAAATACATGATCTTTAACCAAAAAAAAAGAAAGGTAAGAAAGAAGGAAAAACCTGTGGGTGACCCCACTTACCAGGCCTATGAAAATGCAGAAGAGCTGAACGACATCGGTGTAGGCCACGGAGTAGAGGCCGCCCACCAGGGTGTAGAGCGTGGCGATGAGGGCGGAGACGATGACAGAGGCGTGCATGTCAATGTCGATGATCACGCTGATGGTGGCTCCTGGGGGAAAGCAAACGGGGCGCTGTGGGTCAGGTGCTCTGGGGATTCTCTCCTGCCAAGGATGAGCTGAGAGGTCAGCGGCTGCGGATCTTGGCCCGTGTCGCATGAACTGCGCTGGATGACAGCAGCTACGTGAATGTTTCTTCTGGAATTTGTACATATTAGTAAATGGAGTAATACACACACACTTGCTGAAATTAGTCCTTTGCTGATGTATTTACGTGGAGGACACCTGAAATTTATAACATGATGTGGACTGCCCTGAAATACTCTCAATAATTTTAGCAACTATCTGAAACTCTGACTTAATAAATATATGCAATATATTTACTTACGTTGACAAGGAAAAAGCATCTCTGAGAAGCATGATCACTCATTTCCACATTTTATTATTAATATTCATCTACTATTTTGCATTTACTCTGGCCTCTCTAGTAGCTGTCAAATAATTGAGACAAATTTGTAGAAGAAAATAATGAAATTGGTAAACTCTATCCTCCAACTATTTTTTCCTTCCTGAATTTGTGAAAAGTCACTTATTTTATTTAATTGTTAGAACATGCCAGTCCTGCTTCTATGATACGAATATGCTGAAGAATTTCATGTATGAATAGCATATCTTTAGGTAATCTGCATCATCAAGATCATAAGCTTGTCTTAGAAGTCAAATGTATATTTATCTGACTTTATAGCTTTGTTTAGTGTGTTGGTTGGAGTCTATATTTCCATTAAGGACACCATGGTATCGACTGTCTGGACCCCCATGGTTCTTGGATTGAGTTCATAATTCATGTATTGTGTTGGGAGTCCTTTCCTACTGTTCTCAAAGTTGCGTAGTCTGTGTTTCATTTCATGAAATACAGCAATGGGGCCAGCCCTTGCCCTGTGGTTAAGGTGGCTGAATCCTACAAGGCCAACTACATGGTTTATGTCCCAGACCCAGCAGCCTGAGAAACACCAGGCACATGCGAGTGTATGCCTCTGTGTGTGCATGCCAATTCCTGAATGGAGAAATGGAGGAGAAAGGATTGCAGCATGACCATTCCCCATGTGGGGAAGGCATTATCTCACTTTCCCTCTTTCTCTGTCTCTCTGTCTCCAGAGTACAGTTGCCTCTGGCAAACTAAAAAAATAAAAACGCAGCAGTGATAGGTGTGCTGGTCTACATGCCAGCATACATTTATCACCATTGTCAGCTGGCTCCCTTCCACACTACAGTCACTCCTTGACTGGAGTGCTAATACTGTACAGGGCCCATTAGAGAGGGAAATCTATGGTCTCAAAGAGCAATATAACATATTGTAACCTAAGATAGCAATATAATATTATTTATTTATTTATTTGGAGATGCTTTTGCTATAGGGCACATGTGCTCACCAGAAAGATAGAGAGAGACAGAGAGACAGAAAGCAAGAATTCACCCCCCAGGGGGGATGACTACGTCGCAATCCCTCTCCTCCATTTTCCTCTTGGGATCTTGGGCATGCACGCACATGCGCCCGGCGTGAGTTTAAGCCACCAGATCTGGGACTCGAACTGCATGGGAGTCCAGCAACATAGTCATTATGCCAACTGCTGCTCCTGCAATATAATACATTTTTAAAGAAACTTTCTTACTTCTTTTGCTATGATAATAAAACATCATCATTTTCTTGTACAAAATCCAATGAAAAAGAAAAATCTAGTAAGGAGTCGAAAGATGAAGACAAAGCAAAGGGGTCAATTATTTACAAGTGACTGGATAATTGAGATATCATTGTAGAGACAGTTATCTTTTTTTCCCCTGAAATAATTTACTTCATGTTGAAACTTTAGTTGTAACTCTTTGTCTTTCTTTTTATGTAGATTTCTCCATTTTAATAACATTTCCAAGTTACAGCCTAAGAGTTCAACAGAGAAGAAAGGCCACTGGACTTGGACCCTCAGGATTTAGGGTCCTTATAGATGCTGCCATTTGGTCATAGCTCAGTAGTTCTGGAGAAGTCATCCACCTCTCTAACACTATTAAAGTTGGAATGAAGTTTTCTGTAAAATATTTTCTAAATAATTAAGTCAATTGTCATTAAAACCAAGTTATACTTCTAAATCTGCTGTGGATATCAGCTATCTACATAGTTATAAATAAGGATATAAAATATATCACCAAATTTGAGCTGTTTATTAGAAATATAAATATAGGGACCAGCAGTTGGCATAATGGTTATGTTGCTGGACTCCCATGTAGTCGACAGCAGTTTAAGTCCTGGACCGCGTGGCTTAAATTCACACCGGGCGCATGTGCGTGTGTGCCCAAGATCCTGAGAGGAGAATGGAGAAGAGATTGTGGCATGGCCATCCCCCCTGGGGGGGTGATTTCTCACTCTCTGTCTCTCTCTTTCTGTTGAGAGTACGCGCCCTATAGAAAAACCTCTCCAAAAAAAAAATAAATAAATAAAAAAGAAAGGAAAGAAGAAATATAAATATAAATATATAGGGACTAGCAGATGGTGTAATAGTTACGTTGCTAGACTCCTAAGTAGTTGACCACAGTTCGAGTCCCTAATCCGATGACTTAAAACTCAAGCCAAGCGTGTGTGCATCCATGCCCAAAATCCTAAGGGAAGACTGGAGAAGGGCTTGAGGTGTGGGCATACCCCCGGGGAGTGAGTTCTCACTTTCTGTCTCTGTCTCTCCAGAGAGTGCATGCACCCTATAGCAAAAATCTCTCTTAAAAAAAGAAATATAAATGTGTATTTCTTTAAAAACGTTCTAAGATAGTGTCCATGAATACCAGGAAGATTGTTCAAGATTCCCCTATATTTCAGTAGTAAACTCTGCACATTCACAGTGAGAGGGCAATAGACCTTCTGTTTGATATTCTCAAATACCTCAAATTATTTTGAATAAGCATTACGTTTGAATTATGTCCAAAAATGATTTTTCAAATTAATATAGATGTTAATTTAAAATATATACACACTCTACCAGAGCACAGGTTTTAAGCAATAGCAGCAATATTTTCATATGTTTGACCATGTAAGTGAGCAAGTGTGAATATATGGTGAGATGCATTAGCATGTTTTACATGTATGGTATAGTTCAATGACCACACAGGACAGATACACATACATATGAAAATAACTCATTATTATAGAGCTCAGAACTTAGCTGCTACGCTTTGTATTTCCAAAATACTGTAGAAGCATTAGTCTTTTAATTTGATTTTCCCTTCAAGGCTCTGTAATGTAAATTGATCTTTATTCAGTGAGAGTGAACATTTTGTATTCTGCTAGATATTCAGCCCACTCCCTTTTCTGCTACCTCAGCAGGTAGTTTGTTTTTAAAACCAAATTTTTTTGCTGTGAAAACCTAAGGCAAATAGATTCCCATTTCTTGCCAGCTAATGAGAGCAAGGTGGGAAGGGAGGTGTGTTTTTACACAGACTTTGACTAGGATGCCAGTGGTAGGTGTGGGAGGCCAGTATCCAGCTCCAGGGAACTGCAGCCTTTCCCATGGAGCTAGTACTTGTTTTACAATCATCAAGGTCTCTTCTTCCCTACCTCTAGTCATTCCTTGGCCTTACAGTCAGGGCAAGAAAATGATAAAGACTGTATGTGAGTTTGGGAGAGAAAGGCAATCTCAAGTTCTATTTGCTATTATAGAACCCACATACAATGAGAAAGGATATATAAAATAGATGGAAATCATCTTGTCTCGCTTTTGTTCTGACCACTTAAAGTCTGTCTACAAACTTGAGCCCTACATTTCCATTTGTGAAAAGAGATGGATAATAACATCCAAGAATGTCCAGATACCAAACAAATCTAACGAGAGGCTGAAAACCTAAGGGTCCAAAGGCAGGTTCTCCTTAGAGATCTCGGTCGACCCTAAAGAGTCTGAGTGGAGTTTCTAGATCCCTAAAACAACCCGACACCTTGTGATGTAACCGAATTGCATTAGTATAAAAGGGAGCAACATTATTCCATTATTTTTATTTATCTATCTATTTTTGCTAGAGGGAGAGTGCATTTTAAATTTAGAAGGATGAGTCTGGCTAGCACGTGGAGAGGGCAGGCGGAGGGTGGTGCTGTCATTAATCTAGGTGAGGGAGGCGGGGGTGGCCAGGCTTGGGCAGGGCAGAGGTGGATGGCAGGGGTTGGAGGTGGGGTCAACAAAGGAACCCGGCCTGCCCGAGTAGGTAAGGATGGGTCCCAGAGCTGAGCTCATGATAAGATGACTCATGATGATCCCTCTAACGATGCAATTCATCATAAACAAATGCAGCTGAGATTGCATCTAACCTCTCCAGCTATATGCAACTAAGTGCAGGGTTTCTGTTAACCTTGTATTAATATGAATACGATTCAATACATGGTTTTAATACTCTCTAAGAGGCCAAAGCTGAAGATAACAGGGCTGCGTAGCAGACGTCCAGGTAACTAGAGCTGTAGCCAAACGCTTTTGTTGTCAGACCTCACCTAGGGCAGAGAAGATCGCCGCAGCCCAGAACATCTCCCCCATGAGCGCAGGGATGAACAGGAGCCCACCCATGCGCTTCCCGTAGATCTGCTGGAACGGGTCCAGCATGGTCACATAGCCCTTGGAACGCATAGGCTTCGCAAAGAACAGACCACCTAGAAGAAACAGAACAACCTTTTATAAGAAAATCCGAAAATCATGACGTACTAGTCTTGGCCAGCCTTTTACTGTTCTACCATTCCTCAGGGGAAATGATTTTTTTAGAACACCTCTACCAACTGAGGAACCAGTCTGAAATATCCTGGGATTATGGTCCTGAGAAATACTCAGCAGCCTCCTAGGAATTCCTTGGTACATTCAACGTCATATCCAAGGACGAGGGGCTAGCACGACAGACACAGGAATTGGAAAACATGCACCAGAAAGGCGCTCTCCAAATGCTTCCATACATTTGTGTGGCACACCTCAGCATTTCGACGATCTGGTCGATGTAAGTATTTTATATGCAAAAATTAGGAGGAATTCTGTCCTATAAGGTTTTTGACCTTTTGTTAGTCAGATTTACAAAAAGCAACTCAGGTATAATTCAAGCCGATTCATTTTTAATGATATATCTTCACTCGTTTTGAAAGAAATAAAATATAACTATGCTAGGAAATTCACTGTTCCAATAACCATGGGATCAAAGAGTTTTATTATTGTGTCTTTCACATATTTCATACTCAAAAGAGCAAATTATCCAGGCATTACTGTTTCGCTACTTACCGATTTCTGGTAGCAGCTACTTAGAGAGTTCTGGTGACGTTTTTTCCACCATAATTATTTACATTGTTCAACTCGCTAGTCCACTGTTACTCATACTCCTGTTCTCCACATGTTAGTGAGTCACTGAGATGTCATCTTTCACTCACCTAAAATCAGACTGAGTGAATAGCCAATTGGTGCCTGGGCCCACGCCAGCCCATAATCTGGTACGTAAACCGCTTCAGCTGTCCCGTTGATGTATCCTCCTCCGACCCAGGTGGCTGAAAAGGAATGGAAAGTGAGATGTGGCACAGTCTTAACCACAGTACCCTGGCCGTGCCTGGCCAGTGTGGCAGCCACCGGTCTTGTGTGGCTGCTGAGCACCGAAATGTGGCCAGTCTGGACGGAGCTGTTCTGTGAGTGGAAAACACACACAGAATTTGAAAGGTTTCTGGTCTTGCCAGAGGTTAAAATGAAAGCATTTTGAAGAGCAATTAAATGAGTTATATTATTAACATATTTTCACCTAATGTTATTCTTGTGTCTGTCAAAGAAGTTTGTAGGAAGTTTAACATACATTTGCAGCTCCATCTCTTGGACAGGGCTGCCCTAGATATTTTCTAAATGCATTTAGTCATCAATGCTTGTTTATATACATTCAACCGCTGTCTATCATTACAGTTTGTAAGATGAGCTTTCCCAGCAAGAATACACTGTATATTAGTATTAGTGCATGTCACAAATGCTGAAGTCCTACATGATGTACTGTATGACTGTTTCTATTCCCAATAATTCTACTACTTCTACCTCCAGTCCCTGTAACAGGGAGTCATTTATCTTCATTTGAAGATTATTCCATTTTATTGTATTGAGCTTTTTTCATTTATCATGACTATTGTCCTTGTGCAGTGGTGTGTGCATGTGTGCACATGTGTACACATGTGTGTGTGTCCCTGGGTACATGTCTGTGTGTATGCATGTTGTATTTCATTAGTAGAGCCTGGGATGTAAGATCTGGTAAATCTGAGCTGTGCTTAGTACAGTAAGTTGTCAGGAGAGGAAAGGGAGGAGACAGGTGACACTTCTTTTTTTATTTTTATTTTTGCAGAGGTTTTTGCTATAGGGCGCATGCGCTCGCCAGACAGACAGAGAGAGACAGAGAGAAAGCGAGAAATCACCCCCCAGGGGGATGACCACACCGCAATCCCTTCTCCTCCGTTCTCCTCTCGGGATCTTGGGCATGCACACGCACGCGCCTGGAGTGGGTTTTAAGCCACCAGGTCCGGGACGCGAACCGCAGTCGACTACGTGGGAGTCCAGAGACATAGCCATTATGCTAACTGCTGGTCCCGACAGGTGACACTTCTTAGAAATGTCCTGAAAAGGGGACCAGTGGATGGTGTAATGGTTACGTCATTGAATTCCCATGTAGTCAACTGCAGTTAAAGTCCCAGACCTGGTGGCTTAAAACCCACTCCAGGCGCGTGCGTGTGCATGCCCAAGATCCCGAGAGGAGAACGGAGGAGAAGGGATTGTGGCATGGTCATGCCCCCTGGGGGTGTGATTTCAAAGTTCCAGTCTCTGTCTCTCTGGTGAGCACACACGCCCTATGGCAAAAATATCTCTGGGGAGAAAAAGAAGTATCCCATTTCTCTCTCACTCTGCAAGAACCCGACATGTGTGGGGCTTAGACTAGTACTCAGAAGAATGTAGTATCTTGATGTAGACTCACTCCCAAATCTTTGCTAGTAAGGTACTTAGTAGGGTATATCCCCACATAGGGATGTGTACAGAGCTGTGTCTTCTTCAGATACATGAAATTCTGTAGCATAGAGTCAAGGAGGATGGTCAAGGACTCAAAGAAAACGAGTTTTGATTGAGCGAGCTTGGGTCAAAAGTGCTCCACAAAGTACTGTTTCCTCTGAAAAGATGATATAATATTTAATCCTTGCTGAAATCTAAGGCTAGCAGAAAACCCAGTACTTGCAGTGTATATCCTGTTAATAGCATGGTTCGAATATTCACGATGCTGCCTATGGAAAGCATGTGAATGGGTCACGGGCTGGATAGAAACTTATCAGATATGAGACTGAATTTTAGGCGGTATTATCTCATGGAGGAACAATTTAAGTCTGAAAAATTCTCTAAAATTTCACAGAATGTTAGTGAAAAAATAATACATAAATACATAAAAAACGTAACCATAGGACCCGAGCAGCAGTGAGGGCATCCACTCTGCTCGTGCCCGCATGCATCTGGCTTTCAATGCAGCACGAAGCAAAGAAGAAAGTCCTGGGGTAAATGCCACGTTTTAAAAGGTTAACATGAGAATCATTCTACACGGAAATTTAAAGTATACTTATATAGAAACTTTATATACAAAACCCTGAAGTGGGACAAATACAAATTCAGCAGCCACTCCCATCTTCCCAATCACTTTTATATCGTGTAATAAGTAATGAATTTCATCATTTACTTTTCTCATTCTAAACCCTGTTGACTTTTTAATTTAATTTAATTTTATGTTTATGCCATAGGGCACGTGAGCTTGCTGGAGAGAGACAGAGAGATAGGAAAAAGGCCATGCCATAATCCCTTCACCTTCATTCTGTGCTCAGGATATTGGATACACACACACACACACACACACTCACACACACGAGTCTGGCATGATTTTTCAGCCACTGTGTCTGGGACTTGAACTGCAGTAGGCCATGTGGGAGTCCAGTGTCTTAATCACTACGCTATCTGCTGACCCAGTCCTGCTGACATTTTTTAAAGGATTGTTCATCCTCCCTGGGTTTGTCAAAACAACCTGAAGAGATGAATTCTTACAGGTACAGAACCCGAGGCTCACTGTCCTGCCCGGTAACTGGAACAGCACTTCACTTACAAAGGAACCAGCCCCCTGGCCGAACAAGCACAACGCCGATCACTGATCATTGTCCACCCTGTGGTCTCCTGTCCCTTGTCCAGAAAGAAAACTGGTGCCTGAACGATGGCAACTTGTAAAATACAGAAATGGAGACTTGGTTATTATGGTTAAACAGACTCTAATCTTTTTAGTCAACATAGTCCCCTCTATGCCTTGCTCTTCATGTCTGCATATTAGTATTTTGTGTCAAATTCATGAATGAGAGAATGAGTTCTTTTAAATGATATGCATTTTAATAGAGTCAATATTATCAACCTCCTTATGAAATAGATAACAAGTCAGTGAATCAGACAAGGTTTAGATAATGTGGTTCCAATTTTAAATGACTATGATACTGACCCAGGTTCTTTTGAGTTCTAAGGGAGAGAAAAAAGCTTTAAAAGCTGAGCTAAATCATGACACTTTATAAGAAGTGGCATTATTCAAATACTTTCTATATACTTTAATAACCTATTATTGGAATATATCACTCAGACTCTGAAACATTATCCTCATGACCACATCAAACAGAATATTAAACCAGAGTAAAAGAACATTATACTAATTTGCAATGAAAAAGATACTTTGAGAGATACCAGTTCATTTATTCCTCTCAATAATTCTTACAACCCAGGTGCCTTTATAAAGAAGAAAAATGAAACCCCCTAAAGGACTACACAGTACAGCTTGGAGGAGCCCAGACTTGGCTGCAGGACCATGTGGGTTTGGTCCTGGCTCCGGCTCCTTGACTATGTAACCCTGGATCTCCACTCTCTCTCGAGCCAGAGCCCCTTCTCAGAGCTCTTACAAGACCAGATGAATCCATTCAGAGTAGAGGAAGAGTTAAAGAAACATACAGTGTCACCGTTTGAAAGGTAAAACCCACAGCCCACTAGGACACGCACAGTGAAGGCGTTCCGGACACGGCCACCTTCACATTCTGGTTTGGTAGAGTACTTGATATGCAGGGTGGATCATCTGTGGAAAGCACTTCAGGACTGGAATGGACCATCATTAAACACAACTTCTCAAGGAGCATTTCCCAATAAGCATTTGGAGCTTCTGTTAGTGTGAACTGTGTGCTAACATTTAAATCCTACGACCCCGTGATGAAATATATTAGTGAAAGTATATCAAATACTGTTAAAATAGAATTTTAATTTGTTTTCAGAAAGGTTTTCAATAGCCAAGAAGAGTATAGAAAGGAAACAAATCACCCCCAAGCAGAAACAGGTTGGAGTGAAAGAAAGAAGTCAGCCCTCCTGACACACAGAACATCTGAACGGGAGAGCTGCAGATGGGGGCTGGGGATTCCCATCCGGACACGCCCTAGCTCTAGCCTTTCCCTCTTCTAACGAGTTCCTGGAATTTTTTTCCCTTTTTTTTTTTTCAGTGTTGTGGGGTCAAAGTATGTGATTATCTTTCTGGGAGGACATTAGTTAGTAAGTGGGTGAATTAGGGTTCAAAGCAGGGCATCCATCAGTCAGTTTGGAACTGCGTTGACTCCTTCAGGCTGAAAGCCATCACTAGTCAATATTCACTGACGTTTATATTTAAGACCACTCAAAGTCACAACTTCACGCATGGAATAAGGGACAGGTTGAGCCACTGCCATGGGAGTTAGCAGAGATGTCACCTGTTAAGGCCAAGACATGTTTGCATCCTTCCACCTCTTTGTTTTCACTGTTGCCACCCACTCAGCGGCCCAGACAGCCCCGATTGGCTTCACTGACATCCCATCCAGTGATTTATCATTAAATCATTTTGTTCAAGTATTAATGAGCTGAAACCACATTCCTTTCAGGTTTTGAATAAATGGAAAATTATTATTTTTTATAAATATAACTAGTGAACATAAAGACTCCCTACAGGACAAAGAGCAGCCGTTTCTTGCTCGCCCTGCAGCGCGCTGTGCCAGGAGGGTGGGCACGGAGCAGGGCGCGCACCCACCTGTCATGGTGAACCCGCCGACCAGCAGCCCGATGTCCCGGCCCCCGACGATGATGGCTTCGCTGCGCTCTTCAAATTTCTTGGTTCGCCAGGCAGCCCATATTCCAACCAGCAGTATCAGCAGGTAGAACACGATGATGGCTATCAGCCCTTCCACGTGGAAAGCCATTTTTATCTACGCGGCCAGATTCCTCCGCAGTCGGCTACTTCATTAAGACCTCCGAAGGAAACAGGCGTGCGTTATAACTCAGCGAGCGCCGCCATGCACAGGCGACACGGCAGCCAGCTGCATGCATAGGCGACACAGGAGCCAGCTGGCTGCGGAGAGCCTGTGCCCCTTAAAGAAAGAGGGCATGGAAATGGCTCTGGAGGCTGGCCTTGCCAACAAGTGTCCACTGCATCCTCCTCTAACACTGCTTCCAGCCTCGGAGAAACAGAAAAACGTTGCAAGTGCTGTTTACCCATTGGGATCCTAATGTTTCTAATAGACTCTTCTCATTTACAAGGAACCTCGTCTTGTATCTCAACTTCGGCAAGTCTACCAAGAAAGCATTTACAAAGACTATGGTTGCATTTGCCTTTTGGAACATTACTGTTCTAGAATCATCCAGCAACGTAAGTGTATCCTAAAGGGCCTCTCTGGAGATTTGGTAACATTCGTTCATTCACACATTCATCTGTTCACTCCTTCCAACAGAGTCAGGGAAGGCTTCCAGAAGTAATCGGACAGGAAAAGTACCTGAACAAAACCTGGGGAAAATCCGTTTTAAAAGCACACCAATCCACAAGTTCCTGTGGTCTGAGTTCTGCAGTCGTTGAGTTTGTTTCTGTGACTGTTTAAGGGGTCCCCTCTACTTCCTGACACACTGTCCTTCATTCATGCTCCCCACCACTGATGCGTTATTACAGGAAAAGAAATTTAAAATTACCACCGCCAGAAAACGGAGGACCGAGGGAGTTCAAAGCAAACGATTCGAAGACAGAAGTCAGGCTGTGAAGCGTTTACCGTCTGGAGTCGGTTTTATTCCCCCTCCCAGCCCGGTAACCACAGGTCGTACGTGAGCTCGGACGCGCGCACACACCAGTTTCTGGCATACTCAGATATTCGTGCCCGCGGGTGGGCGATGGGACCTTGGTCTTGAGAACTAGCGTCCCGCGGGCTCTGGGAAAGCACAAGGAGAGCCGGAGGACCGGGTGGGCTCCGCGGTTGCGAGCGCCCAAGCCAGTGTGTT